ACCATTGATGCCTATAAATAAAGGTATTATTTGAGAGCAAAATGAAAGAGAATGGTGAGTGTGTGTAAGAGAATAAGAGAGAAAAAGGGGCTGCTAAGTGACACGACCAAAAGATTGATGTCTTTTCCCAAGTGCAAGAGTGTCAAAATAATAAATAACCTGATAAGACCGAAGTTGAACCACAAGGAGGTTAATTATATAAATTATAGACAACAATAATACAACAACAACAACAATAATAATAGTAATAATAAAGAAGAAGAAGTTGATGGGAACTTTAAGATTGAAGATTAACGTAAGAATTAAATAATAATAACAACAAATGTCAAGGTTAGAGGATCCATTAATAGTATGTCAAACAAGTATAGTATAAACTTTTATTATTCAATTGGAAACCACACACAAAAGAAGTTCCAATCAGATTATAAATTATTAACATGATTACATTAGTTATCTTATTCAATTAATGCTAATACTTATAAATCTTGTTATGCATTCATGATTATAACTTATGTTAACAACAAATCAAGTTTCTTTCATAGCTCAAGTATCGGTTATACCATACAGTATGGGCTATAAAAGTGCCAAGCATTTGTTGTACCAAGTATTATATAACATAAATCAAGATTAGTCATTTAACAAGCAAAGTATTAAAGAGTGAACAAGATAACAAATACAAAACATGTTAGTATCAAACATTAAAGTCCATATTAAGTTTACACTATACTTATTCTTACACCATTAGTGTAACCTTTTCACCTTGACATAATAAACTTAACTAAACATAAAAAAAAAAGGAAAAATAAATAAACAACATAAAAACATAAATAAGATAAAAGTTAACTAAGTAAAGAAAAGGAAATGAAAGGCATAAACTTGATATTAATGAAAGCAAAGCATAAATATTACAAAAAATACAAAAAGAGAAAGTAAGAGCATGATCTTGATCTGGAGACTAAGATGTCTAAATGCATGGCAAATGCTTCCTTTTATAGGCTAAAATTGCGAGCGATTAATTTGATGACTAATTGATGAGTGAGTGGTGAATTCTTGATTTGGTGACAATCCTTATTTTCTCTTGTCTGCCCAAAATATCATTGATAATATCAGAATTGGAACCACTTGAAAACATAAAAGTTGTAAAAAATTACCTCAGCTTTCTAGGAAAAGAAAATGGAGGTCATTTAAACTTCTAGAACTCCAGATATAGGTTAAACGCCAAATAGTATTCGGGTTGCAGGACAGATTCGGACTTCATCATTGTTGCTACAATTTGCACTTGAAAATGGCCTTATTAAATCTTGGCTCCATATAAAAGTTGTAGGCCTATGTCTTACCTTTTCATCCATATAAAATAGATCTAAATCCGTGATCTACAGCTCCAGATATGACCCAATTACCGAATAGTGTTCAGGTTTGGACTGCACTAACATCTCTTTTCTAAGTTTGGCCATCTCTTTGTCCTTTCAATTTTAGTTCTTAAACTTATCAATCAATCCTTTCATTTATATGATAGGCCTATATTTAAAATGAATATTTACCATAAATTAAAGGTGTCTTATATTATTATATATGTTAGTATAAAACATGCTTTAGTTAAGGAGTTATTAATACTTCAAGTGCAAAATGATGATATAAAACCTTGATAAAAATGCACTTTTAAATACTAATCACACCCCTCAACCAGTTTATTACTAGTCCCTAGTAATCAAAGCATTAGAAAAACAATTTGCAAATTCCACAAAGCAAGGTATTCATCATTCAACTTCCATTAAGTTATCTAGATAAACAAACTCTCATTAAATTTATATATCTGTTCAATAACTTTTAAATAAAATATTAATAAACCTTTCTTTTATGCTTAATATATCAACACATAGTTATGGGGCTTTACTTGGAAGAAAACAAAATTCTTGTTCTAATGTTTAAGGTTAACTTCCTTAGGTTGGGATTTTTATCTTTTTTTTTTAAATATATATACATGTAACTTAAAATACAATACATATTTAACCCATGTAATGAGCTTTAAGCTAATAACTCCCAGACCAATTGGTCTTAGGGCATTAGGTGTTAAGACACTCCTACGAGTTTAATAACTCGGGTTGCAGTACTAATACGTAGATAGTGCAATGTTTGATTCTCTTACGCTTTTCTCCTCAACCCATGTAACAAGCATTAGGTCAATAACTCCCAAATCAATTGACTTTAGGGTATTAAGTATTAAGACACCCCTTCGGGCTTAATGGCTTAGGTTAGGAAGGCTACGAAACCAAACTTATCTACATTTTTATTATCTATATTTTTTTCTTTTTCTTTTTTTATTTTTTTTCAAATTATATACTATCCCTTTCCTTTAGTTCTTACCTTTAATAAAAGAACATAAATAATGTAATAATCTAATTATAACCTATAATCATATGTTAAAGTGTGTGTTTGAAAATTAAGGTTTAAAAATACATGTTAAAAGAGGATATGAGTAAAATTAAGTGATAACAATGAGAGAGTTTGTAAACCTTAATATTTCAAGAAGTATTATGATAGATCTTGTTAAGAATGGTTACCAAGATGCATCTCAAGAGTCACTTTAACAAAAGAGCTCATTCACTCTACCATCTAGTAACAACAATTTTGCACATGCTTTATGAAATAGAAAACATAGTCAGTTAAATTTTTTTGTCAACTACTACCCTCTCCCTCCAACCAAAACAAGACATTGTCCTTAATATCCTAACATAGAAAGATAGAGTATAAAAGACATCACTTAAAATAACAAACACTGACAATCCTGAAACATACTTAAACAAATAAAATAAACAACAAAACACAATAATAAAAGAAAAGGACACAAAGATTCACAAATAAAGACTCAAATCTAATCTAAGTGACACGACTAAAAGATTGATGTCTTCTCTCAAGTGTAGGAGTGTCGAAGTAATAAATAACCCGGCAAAACCAGGGTCGAACCACAGGGAGGTTAAATGTATAAATTATAGATGACAATAACAATAATAACAACAATAACAACAACAACAACAACAACAACAACAATAATAATAATAATAGAAGTAGTACTAGTAGTAATACTAATAATAATAATAATAATAATAAAGAAAAAGAAGGAGAAGTAATAATAAAGAAAGAGAAGAAGAAGAAGATGAAGAAGATGAGAACTTCGAGATAGAATATTAATGTAAGGATTAAACAATGATAATAACAAATGTCAAGGTTAGAGATTCCACGAATGGTATGTCAAACAAGTATAGTATAAACTCTTATTATTTAATTGGAAACCACACATAAAGGAGGTTCCAATCAGATTATAAATTGTTAACATGATTACATTAGTCATCTTATTCAATTAATGTTAATACTTGTAAATCTCGTCAAGCATTCATGATTATAACTTATGTTAACAACAAATCAAATTCCTTTCATAGCTCAGGTGTTGGTTATACTATACCGTATGGGCTACTGATTAATACTTAAAAGTGCATTCTCATTAAGGATTTATGTCATCATATTGCACCTAAAGTATCATTAAATTCCCTAACAAAAGCATGTTTTATATTAGCAAGTCTAAAAATATAATATACCTTTAATTCATGGTAAATGTTCATCCTAAATGCAGGTCTATCACATAAATAAAAGGATTGATTGATGAGTTTAAGGATTGAAATTGAAAGGATAAAAAGAAGGCCAAACTTAGCAAAGTGTTGCTGGTGCATTCCAAACTCGAACACCGTTCAGTAATTTGATCATATCTGGAGCTGTAGATATCAGATTTATGTTCATTTTATATCGATGGAAAGGTAAGACATAGACCTACAACTTTCATATGAAGTCAAAGACTCAGTTCTGCCGTTTTCAAGCCCAAATCTTCGCAACAAAGAAGACGTCGAAAGCTGTCCTGCAACTCAAGCACTATTCGGTTTTTGGCTCATATCTTGAGTTCTAGAAGTCCAAATGAGCTCTGGTTTTTTTTGTTGGAAAGCTGAGACAATTGCCCACAACTTTCACAATTCAGTTGGCTATAATTCTGATGTGAGCAATGACGTTTTGGCCAGCCAACAATATCAAAAATCAGCCCACAATATCAAAAAAACAGCAGCCATTAATGTCAAAAACCAGCCACCAAATCAATGGATGCCCACCAATTCTTCAATCAATCAATAGTTCTGAAACTTAGCCTATAAAAGGAGGCATTGTCCATGTATTTAGTCATATTAATTTTCAGATCAAAGTTATCTTCTTGCTTTCTCTCTACATCTTTGTAATGTTCAAGTTTTCTTTTATGCTATAGTAATCTCTTGTTTATGCTCTTTTATTTCCTTTCCGATACTTAGTTAGCTTATATTATGTTTATGTTCTTATATTGTTTATTTATGTTTTTCTCCTTCTTAATGTTTAGCTAAGTTAATTATGTCAAGGTGAAAAGGTTTCTCTAATGGTGTTAGAATAGGTATAATATAAACTCAACATGAGCTTTAAATGTTTATATCCAAGAAAGATTATTATTAACATGTTTTATCTTTTTATCTTACTAATTCTTAATACCTTGCTTATTAAATGGTTAATTTAAATTTGTGTTGTATAATATTTGGTACATCAAATGCTTGATCCTTCATAGTTTTCGGCCGACATCGTTATTATGATAGGAACTTGATTTGTTGTTAACATAAACTAGCAACATGAATGCTTGATGATATTTATAAGTATGGTATTACTTAGATAAGATAATTAATATGATCATGTTAGTAATTTATAATGAGCTAATAACGAGAAATCATCCGATTAGAACCTCCTTTATGTGTAGTTTCTAGTTGAGTAATAAAAAGAGTTTATATTATATTTATTAGAAATACCATTAGTCAATCCTATAACCTTGACATATGTTTTGTTATTGTTTAATCCTTACATCAATATCATATCCCAAAACTTTCTTCAACTCTTTTTCTATTATTATTCTCTTCAACTCTTTTTCTTTATTTGTAATTTATATAATTCACCTCCCTGTGGTTCGACCCCGGTCTTGCCGGGTTATTTTACTTTGACACTCCTGCACTTGGGATAAGACATCAACTCTTTGATCGTGTCAAGTTTTTGGCGTCGTTGCCGGGGAGGTAAGTTATTGTATAAATTAAATATTTTATTTTATTTTATTTTCACTTTTATTTGTTTTTCTAATTGTTGTTTCTTTTTCTTTTTCTTTTTTTTCTTTTCTTTTCTTTTGTATTTGCATGAGAGTTTGGACACGTACATTAAGTGGTAGACTTTCTAGAAAATCATCATTTTCTTTAGAAAACATGGCCGAAGAAGATAACCAATCAATTCATAATGAGAATAATGAGAATAATGAGAATAATCGTGTTAGAACACTTAGAGATCATATGAATCCAACAAGAACAAGTGCACCATCATGTATTGTTTTTCCTCCTGATGCATCTCATTTTAATTTTAAGCCAGGTATTATTCAACTTTTACCCACTTTTCATGGCTTAGAATTAGAAAATCCATACTTGCACTTAAGAGAATTTGAAGAAGTTTGTAACACTTATAATGACTTAAATTGTAGCATGAACACCATCAGATTAAAGCTTTTTCCTTTTTCGTTAAAAGATAAAGCTAAAACATGGCTACAAAATATTAGGTCAGGATCCATTCATGTTTGGGATGAAATGCAACAACAATTTTTAAAGAAATTTTTCCCTTCTCATAGAACAAACTCTTTCAAAAGACAAATCACCACTTTTACTGAAAAACCAGGAGAAACATTTTACAAATGTTGGGATAGATATAAAGACTTGCTTAATACCTGTCCTCATCATGGTTTTGAAACATGGAGATTGGTTTCACAATTTTATGAAGGGTTAACACCTAAAGATAGGCAAATGGTGGAATTGATGTGCAATGGAACTTTTGAAGATAAAGACCCTGATGAAGCAATGGAGTACTTAGACTTGCTAGCTGAAAATGCTCAAAATTGGGACACCACAAGTACTTGTGAGGCACTAGGTAAAACTCAACCTCATACATCTAATGGAGGCATGCATAGCCTTAGGGAAGATCATGACCTTCAAGCTAAATTTGCATCTTTAGCTAGAAAAGTTGAGGCACTAGAATTAAAAAAGAGTGGTCAATTAAAATCTGTTCAAGAAATTGTGTGTCAAATTTGTGAAACCAATGAACACTCAACCAACGATTGTCCAACCTTGCCTTCTTTTAAGGAATGTCTCCATGAACAAGCCCATGCTTTAAACAGTTTCCAAAGGCCTAACCACAACCCATACTCCCAAACATACAACCCTGGTTGGAGGAATCACCCAAATTTCAGTTGGAAGAGTGAGAACAACAATGCACAAACTTCACAACCACCATTTCAAACACAACATAATTTTCAAAATTCTCATGGATATGCACCTCCTTATATTCCCCCTCCTAGAAGAAATATTGAGGAAACATTACATGCATTCATTGAAAAGCAAGAGACAATCAACACTCAAAATGCTTAAACCATGACTGATTTGAAAGATACTCTTGCAAAGTTCATATCTGCTCTCAGTTTTCAGGAGAAAGGTAAGTTTCCATCTCAACCCCAGCAAAATCCCAAGGGGCAATACAATTCAAGTACAAGCAGTTCTGGAAGCCAACATCTGGATCAAGTCAAATCAGTCACTACTCTCCGCAGTGGTAAGGTTATTAAAAAACCTATTCTTGAACCTTGTGAGAAAGAAGATGAGTTAGTCTCCAAGGGTAAGGAAATGGTTGAACCTGATCATTGCAAGGAAGAGACTGATTCCCCACCAGCACTTCCATTTCCTCATGCCATGACTAAACAAAGGAAAGTCAATCACAATTCTGAAATCTTTGAAACTTTCAAACAGGTAAGGATTAATATACCTTTGCTAGATGCTATTAAATAGGTACCATCTTATGCTAAATTTTTGAAAGATCTATGCACTGTAAAGAGAAAATTGAATGTGAAAAAGAAAGCCTTCTTAGCCGAACAAGTAAGTGCCATTCTTCAGAATAATAATGCTTTGAAATATAAAGACCCTGGTTGTCCTACAATTTCTTGCTTTATTGGAGAACATAAAATTGACAGAGCTTTACTTGATCTTGGAGCTAGTGTGAATTTACTTCCATATTCGGTTTTTCAAAGTCTAAATCTCGGTGAGTTAAAACCTACTTCTGTTACTCTTTTACTTGCTGATAGATCTATAAAAATGCCTAGAGGAATAGTTGAAGATGTGTTAGTACAAGTTGATAAATTCATCTTTCATGTGGATTTTATTGTCTTGGATACACAACCTGTTGAAGCATGCAATTCAATTCCTGTTATTTTAGGACGTCCATTTCTTGCAACTTCTAATGCATTGATTAATTGTAGGAATGGAGTGATGAAGTTATCTTTTGGAAACATGACATTAAAAATGAATGTTTTTAACATTTGCAAGCAACCTGGAGATGATAATGATTTACAGGAAGTAGATTTTATTGAAAAAATAATTTATGATCAATTTGAAAATTCTTCCAATGAAACTGAGTTTAATGAATCTGAAGATTTGCAAATGGTTTGTTTTCAGGAAGAATCAAAGGCAAATATTTGGAGACCAAAAATTGAGGAATTGTCACCACGATCAATTGGGTCCATACCTTCAAGTGTTCAACCACCAAAACCCGATTTGAAGCCATTGCCATGTAATCTCAAATACTCATTTTTGGGAGAAAATGAAACTTTTCCGGTAATAATTTCTTCCAAACTTAATGTTCATCAAGAAGGTAAGTTATTACAAACTCTAAAAATGCACAAAAATGCATTAGGATGGACCATAGCTGACATAAAAGGAATTAGTCCTTTGATTTGCACACACAAGATTTATTTGGAGGAAAATGCTAAACCCTCTAGAGAAATGCAACGAAGGCTTAATCCTAATATGAAAGAAGTAGTGAGGAATGAAGTCATTAAACTTCTAGATAATGGAATCATTTATCCTATTTCTGATAGCAAATAGGTAAGTCCTACCCAAGTTGTACCTAAAAAGTCTGGAGTTACTGTGATAACAAATGAGAAAAATGAGTTAATTCCAACGAGGACTATTACTGGTTGGCGCATGTGCATTGACTATAGGAAACTTAATTCAATGACTAAAAAAGATCACTGACACGACGAAAAGATTGATGTCTTCTCCCAAGTGCAGGAGTGTCGAAGTAATAAATAACCCGGCAAGACCGGGGTCGAACCACAGGGAGGTTATTTGTACAAATTATAAATAACAATAATACAACAACAATAACAATAACAATAACAACAACAACAACAATAATAGTAATAATAATAATAATAATAATAATAATAGTAATAGTAATAGTAATAGTAGTAATAAAGAAAGAGAAGAAGAAGAAGATGATGGGAACTTGGAGATGGAAAATTAATGTAAGGATTAAACAATAATAATAACAAATGTCAAGGTTAGAGGTTCCACTAATGGTATATCAAACAAGTATAGTATAAACTCTTATTATTGAATTGGAAACCACACACAAAGGAGGTTCCAATCAGATTATATATTGTTAACATGATTACATTAGTCATCTTATTCAATTAATGCTAATACTTGTAAATCTCGTCAAGCATTCATGATTATAACTTATGTTAACAACAAATCAAGTTCCTTTCATAGCTCAGGTGTCGGTTATACCATACATTATGGGCTATGAAAGTGTCAAGCATTTGTTGTACCAAGTGTTATACAACATAAATCAAGATTAGTCATTTAACAAGCAAAGTATTAAAGAGTGAACAAGATAACAAATATAAAACATGTTAGTATCAAACATTAAAGTCCATATTAAGTTTACATTATACTTATTCTTACACCATTAGTGTAACCTTTTCACCTTGACATAACTAACTTAGCTAGACATAATGAAAGAAAGCAAAATAGATAAACAAAATAAGAACATAAAAGTTAACTAAGTAAAGGAAAGGAAATGAAAGGCATAAACTTAATATTAATGAAAGCAAAACATAAACATTACAAAAAATACAAAGAGAGAAAGGAAGAGCATGATCTTGATCTGAAAACCAAGATGCCTAAATGCATGGCAAATGCCTCCTTTTATAGGCCAAAATTGGGAACTATTGATTTGATGACTAATTGATAAGTGGGTGGCCAACTTTTGACTTGGTGACAATCCTTATCTTCTCTTGTCTGCCCAAAACGTCATTGATAACGTCAAAACTGGAGCCAGTTGCAAACACGAAAGTTGTAGGCAATTGTCTCAGCTTTCTTGTGTAAAAAGTTCAGCTCATTTGGACTTCTAGAACTCCAGATATGGCCAAAATACCGAACAGTGCTCGGGTTGGAAGACAGATTTGGGCTTCTTTGTTGTTGCTACAATTTGGACTTGTAAATGGCCTTTTTAGATCTTAAGCTCCATATGAAAGTTGTAGGCCTATGTCTTACCTTTCCATCCATATAAATTGGACCTAAATCTGAGATATATAGCTCCAGATATGACCCAATTACCGAACAGTGTTCCGATTTGAATTGCACCGACATCTCTTTTCTAAGTTTGGCCATCTCTTTATCCTTGCAATTTATGTTCTTAAAGTCATCAATCAATCCTTTCATTCATGTGATAGGCCTGCATTAAAAATAGACATTTACCACAAATTAAAGGTATCTTATATTATTAGATATATTATTATAAAACATGCTTTGGTTAAGGAGTTATTGATACTTCAAGTGCAAAATGATGATATAAAACCATGATAAAAATGCACTTTTAAGTACTAATCACACCCCCGAACCAGCTTATTACTAGTCCCTAGTAATCAAAGCGTTAAATAGAAAAACAATTTGCAAATTCCACAAAGCAAGGTATTCATCATTTAACTTCCATTAATCTATCCAGATAAACAAACTCTCATTAAATTTATATATCTGCTCAATACCACTTAACAAGATATTAATAAACCTTTCTTTTGTGCTCAATGTATCAACACATA